GAGTCCACACTGATCTTGCAGAGGAATCAAGTTCTGTTCCTATAATCCATGTCAGTTAGTCACAGCAGCCTCTAACTTGAGTACCCTTGGGGAATCTAATGCTCTCTTCTCTCTCTCTTTTTTTAAATTTGTTGTTGTTGTTGTTGTTGTTGTTTGAGACAGATTTTTCTGTGTAACAGCTCTGGCTGTCCTGGGACTCACTTTTTAGACCAGGCTAGGCTCAAACTCACAGAGATCCACCTGTCTATGCCACCTGAGTGCTGGGACTAAATGTGTGTGACATCACTGCCCGGCCTGATCATCTCTTCTAGATTCTATGAACACCCAGACACATGCACATAATTAAAAATAAAAATAACTCTTTGAAAAAGAATAAGTAATCACTATTACAATTGTCAAGATCTCTGTGGCATGATTATGTTATGAAAATTCATGAATTGCCAAGTGGTGGTAATGCACACCTTTAATCCCAGCACTCAAGAAGCAGAGGTAGGAGGATCTCTGTGAGTTTGAGATCTGCCTGGTCTACAAAGCAAGTTCTAGAACAGCCGGAGTTGTTACACAGAGAAACACTGTCTTGAGGGGGGGGGGGGAAGAAAAGACAATCTTTGAATAAATTGAATGTAATGAAGGCTGTCCAACAACCCAAAGGTCAGCATTCTATTGAATGGGGACATACTGAAAGCTGTTCTCTAAAATCAGAAGCGAAACAAAGATGAAACAAAAGACTTTTAGAACTGATAAATTTAGCAAAATAACAGAATATAAAGTGTACACTCAAAAACCAATAGTTTTTACTATACACCAATAATCAATTCACTGAGAAAAAAAATATAGAAGAGTAAATCTTAGAACAATCTTCAAAACAATAAAATACATAGTAATAAACTTAATCAAGTGGGAGAGAGACTTCCATGATGAAAGCCATAAAGCACTGAAGATAAAAGTGGAAGAATATGCTAGGTGTAGTAGCACACGCCTTTAACCCAGCATTGGAGAGGCAGAGAAGGGCCATTTTCTGGGAATCTGAGGACAGGAAAGACTGGTGTACAGAGCCAATTCCAGGACAGCCAGGAATTATGTAGTGAGAACCTGTGTCAAACAAACAAACAAACAACTGAAGAACAAATAAAAGTTGATAAATGATCAACATAGATCAGCAAAAATGATATTGTTAAAATGGTCATATTCCTGAAAGTGATCCTAAATTCAAGGCCAGCCTCAGTTACATAGTGAGTTTAAGGTCAAACTAGCTTCACTGAGACTCACTCTGATAAATTAGTTAATTAATTAATAATTAAAATAATGTATGTATATATGGTGTGAATATAGAGGTAAAAATGTTAATGGGAACAAGAGAGACTTACAAGAGGGGAAAAGTGAAAAAAAAAGGATGCTTAGGAGCATATGAGGAGAATATGCCCGATTTTTAATATAAACTTGTACAAAAACTGAAGAAAGAGTAAATTTGTCAGAATTCTAGAGGTCTAAATTATTAAGTAGGCAACATAGGTTTTAATCTTCATGAGTTTGGATTAGGCAGTGGCTTCTTATTTATGATATGAAAATAACAGTAAAAATGGTGAGTGAATTATGTTTCGTTAAAGTCAAAGATGGTGGTGCTTCAGAAGGTACTCTCAAGGAAGCGATAATAGAAACAGCTAACAGAAGAACATATTTACAAATCATGTGTTATGGTTCAAGATATGAAAGGCTCCCAAAGACCTGTAAACAGAATATCATTATTACACTACTGTTTTTGTAATTATAATAGCATGATAACCAATGTTAAGATATTTTTCAAACTGTATCAAAATATTTTTCTTATGGTTTGTTTGATCAAACTGAGACTCAAGTATGTTCCACTAGCATACAGGAATACAACCTGGGTTTCCTCTGTAGAATAATGCCAGCAGTTGAATGGTGGCCCCTAGTTTATTGTACAGGCCAAGTCTCCAGGGAGATTTGCAAATACTGAATTAAAAGTGGCAGCAGATATGAAATGAAGCCTGAGGGAAGGAAAAAATCTATACGGATCTCCCGGTAGTCATTACTCCCTCAAGATATTCTTGTAATGTAATTGTTCTGAGGGTTCCTGGACCTTTCATTGTTAGTCAAGAGGTAAACTGAAAGACTTCACTGTTAAGCTTCACTGGAAATAGCTTGTTGCATGCTCATCCATATAAGCAGATTTGAAACTAAAAACTATTCTGTTGCCACTAAAAAATTATAGATTGAAAGCCATTCTTTTCACATCACACCGAATTTGCTATTTGTTTGCTTGGCAATGTTTCTGTAGGCTAAACTGTAAGAATAAATTAAGGAACCCTACCTACACACAAATGGACTTGGTAAAAGCATTTGTAGCACTAAAATTTGTCTTTTAAATTTCTTGACACCATGCTTCTGATTAATGCAACATGCAAACTGCCTCTTCCTAAACTCAGTGTTTGAGATCTATTTTTTTTAAAGGTTTTTAGAGACAAGCAGCAGCCGGGTTTTTTTTTTCTCTTCCCAAATTTATTTATTTTTTGTTGTTTTTTTGGTTTTTGCTTGTTTTGAGACAAGGTTTCGCTATAGATTTGGAGCCTGTCTTGGAACTACCTCTATAAACCAGGCTGGCCTTGACTCACAGAAATCCGCCTACCTCTGCCTCCTGAGTGCTGGGACTAAAGGTGTGTGCCACCACTGCCCGGCTCCCCCAAAACTTAAACATTCTACCCAGGAAACCCAGTATATAGCGCGTGAGCGTGAGTGCGTGTGCGTGTGCGTGCGTGCGTGCGTGCGTGTGTGTGTGTGTGTGTTTTGTGTTCATGGCCCGGGCTGCATGTGGAGATCAGAGAACACTTGAGGAAGTCTGTTCTCTCCTACCCTGTGGGTCCCAGTGATGGCCCCTATCATCTGTCAGGCCTGGAATTCTTATTTAACTTGCTGAAGGTGCCAAAAGCAGAATCACTTGGGTTGCAGATTTTACCTTGAAACTTTTCTGCCCACACCCAAGGAAAAGGTAGAAATGATATGAAATACTGTTTAAAATTTAAAAGACGCTGGGCAGTGG